AAATAAATAAATAAATAAATAAATAAATAAATAAATAAATAAAATGTAATAGAAAAATTTAGGTAAGATTCTTAAGAGTAGGCTATGTGCTGTTTTGTTTGAATATGAACTATTCCCCCTCAGGTTCACGTGTTGAACAATTGGCTCCCAGCTGATGGTGCTATTTTTGGAGGCTCTGGAAAGTTTAGGCAATGGAGCCTTATTGAAGGAGATGGGCCTCAGGGAGTAGGGCTTTCTATCCAGTCCCCGGTGCTTTCTTCGCTCTCTGTTTCCTGTGCACCATGAAATAAACAACTGGCCAGCTCCCCTACATGTTCACAACATTTCATTTTGCCTAAGCACAAGGGACCAAGCAACCCAGAACTGAACTCGCTGAAACCATGAGCCAAAATAAATCTTTCATCCTTGATTTTGTTTCTGACACTCATTTTGTCATAGCAACTTTAAAAGTAATTGACAGGGACTGGAGAGATGGCTCAGCGGTTAAGAACACTGACTCCTCTTACAGAGGACCTAGGCTCAGTTCCCAGCACTCACATGGAAGCTAACTATTATAACCCCTGTCACAGGGCATCTGAAGCCCTCTTCTGCCTTCCACAGGCATTGCACATACATGATGCTCTTATGTACAATACAAGCAAAACATTCAAAAACTTACATTAAAATAAATACATTAAAATTTTTTAAATAACAAACATTCTTTCTTCATTGTGTGTGTGTGTGTGTGTGTGTGTGTGTGTGTGTGTGTGTGTGTATGTGGTGCTGAGGGTCAAACCCAGGGCCCCACATATAGTAGGCAACTGAACTACAACCCCAGGCCACCAATACAACTTTAAATATTTCCAAGAGCACAACACAGAGCCCAGCACATGGTAAGCACTCAGCAATTGGTGCCGTTATTGTTTTGCTGTTGTTTCTTGGAGCTGTTGTCAGTGAGGGTGGTGATAATAGTAACAACTATTGTAAAAGCTCTTCTGATATGATGACCTTTATATAGGCTTTTTTTATAGGTATGTAATGTTAGTTATAAATGATTGATTAAAAAGCAGATATTTAGAAGGCAGCCTTCCAGTCAACAGTCCTTTACTTCTCATAAGACCACTATGTGGTTTGTCATTTTGATTTAGCTGTCTCTAGATAAACCTGATGGAAAATTGTGAAAAATGCTTCCATTTCTAATGTCTAAGATTAACCAAAAAGAGCACTATTAGAAAGGGAATTTTCCAGCCTTCGCTGTCCCCAGTATCTAAATGTCTAAATTTACTTATGGCTTGTCTCATCATCTTTTGCCCTTCCACCTTAGAAAATATGAAGTTTTGCCACTTCAGACTAACCTCTGCCTGTGCTTTGGCTTCCGCCTCCCCAGCTTCACCTTAGACCTCATTCATTATTTATATCCTTTTTAATCTTTATAGTCTCTTCAGCTACTGAGCTCTCTTTCACCTAATCTTGTGTCTTTGAAAACTAATTTTTTAATAAATAATCTTTCTTTAGCGACTGCCTACTTTCAGCACATTCCCACCAAATTTCTTGAGAGTTTATATAATGTTTATCTGCTTCCTTTCCACAACTGAATTTCACTCTTCCAATTGCTTTTCAGCAGCACCAGAGAATCAAGTACTTTTTAATCAGTGTTGTGCTAGTGTCTGATTGGGGCCACTCCATCTATTTCAGCTGTAGACGTTTCTCTTGTGATGCGTCACTCCTTAACATTTATCTTTCTTCAGTGTCCCAATTCGGTTCTGATCAGATTCTTTTCCTATGTCCTTAGACTTTATTTCTCATCCCTTACTGTCCTTATTTCTCTAAAGGAAACATTTACATTTATAAAAGGATGCAAAACTTTCATCTTTTTTAAGATTTATTTGTCTCTGTGTGTGTGTGTGTGTGTGTGTGTGTGTGTGCGCGCGCGCGCGTGCGCAGCTTCCACTAGAGACCAGAAGATGTCAGATCCTTTGGAGCTAGAATTACAAGTGGTTGTGAACTGCCCAATATGGGTGATAGCAACTGAATTCCAATCCTTGAGAGAACATCAAGCACGCTCAACCACTGAGTCATCCCTCTGGCCCTCTTCCATCCTTAACATCCCTTCTTTCTTC